AGCAAAAGCAACAACAAGCAACAGTAAAGGCAACTACGACGATGAGGAGAAGGAGGAGGACGACGGTTACCGTTACTACTAATGCTGCTTTCCTAGGGGCTCCAACTCCTAGGTAGGGTCGCATTGGGGTAATTTTGACCATTCAGGCAATTTCCTTCTAATGTCCTCCTTAGGAGGACATTACTATCAGAAGGTGGGAGGGGCGCCACGCAGAGCTTCCTATTGGTGCCATAGGTGGATCTCCGCGCGACGGGTGTGCCGACATGGGCGGGGGTGCACGGTGAACATTTTGTTTCTTGGCCTTTAGGTAGTGTACCTTGTGTGCGCGATCCGCGTGATGGGGTGTGCCGCAATGGGCGGGGCGGCGCATGCGAATCCTGCCTCTGGGCCCTGGGTTGAGACTCCTGTGGGCCACGATCCGTGCGAGAGGTGTGCCGAAGTAGGCGGGGGGGCGGCGTGCGAACCTTGCCTCTGGGGCCGTCCGTGAGGATTGCGTGCTGGCTCAGCAGTGACCGCACCGACGTAGGGTCACTGCATGGAGACGCTGCTTGAAAGGGGAGCCGACCGAGCCACTCGACTCGGCCCGCCTTCCCAGCGCCACTCGGAGTCGGAGCACGCACCTGGCGGGCGGGACAGGGGTGCGAAGGGCGGCCGCAAGCGGCCACGCTTTGCCGCGCGGCCTGGCGAACTCGGCCAGCCACGGCACCACGCACGCGCACGGCACATCCGCACGGCACCCGGCAGAGCCCGAGGGCCGAGGCAACCGGACGTTCCAGTCCCCCCTCTCCGGCCCCTTGGGGGGCCCCCCGTCGCCCCGGTTGGGCCCGCCTTCCTGGGAGAGGCTCGGGGGGCTCGACCCGCGAAAGGCGATCTGCTGCCCGAGCGGGCCACAGGCGTGAAGCCACCGATTCCACGAAGCCACGACGCCACCAAAAGGCAACCGAGAGCCAGCTAAATCCTCTTGTTCCAAAGCCCTACGGGTTTCGGGATCATGAGGATTGCGTGCTGGCTCCGAGTGACCGCGCCGACGTAGGGCCACTGCGTGGAGACGCTGCTGGACAAGGGAGCCGACCGAGCCACTCGACTTGGTCCATTGCTGTGGATCGGCTCGCTCCCCGCACTGGCCCCCCGATAGCGAGCGGTACACGCCGACTGCAACGACAATCTGAACAGGAAAGGGCCTGGCGGCATCGCGCAGAAGCGCACGCACGTGCTTTTCTGCACCGCGGTCGTCACCAGAAGACTCACTGAAGTCGACCAGCCACTCCGCAGCTTGGAGCGCTCTGGCCTCTCGTGCAGACGCGTAGCCATAGGCAGCGACATCTCTCCAGCCCCACTGAAGAACAGACTCTGGAAGCCGTCATGTTTCAACGCCTCGTCCGCCCAGCCTCGGCGGACGGCGTGGGTCCCCCATTCGCTTGCCCTTGGAAATCCTCAATCCAGCGCCGCACGCTGAATCCATGAGACCTGGAAACACCCGCCCTGCGGCCACGCGTCTCTGCAACGTGCGCACCCCGCACAGCTCCGCAGTCAGCAAATCGCATATACAGTTCCTCACAACCTCAACTGCGGAGTTACACATCTTCCGCTGGAATAGAATGATGCGCGCCTGGCCCTGGCTGTCTCCTTTGGAGAATTGGACCGCGGAGTGCCCGCTGGACGCTTCCAGAGGAACTACTCCTGATCCGAACCTCAAGTAAAAGTGCCGGGAAATGGCAAAAGCGTCGGCGGCCTCTGACTCACCAAGGTTCGCCCGCAGGTAGCGGCTGAGATCACGCGTCTGCTTCGCAGAGGTTCGCGGCTTGAACCTCTCCAGCCGCGGCGCCGTGAGAGCGCCCCGCCTCGGCTCCACGGTGTCCGCGAGCGCGCCGGGCGGCGCGTGCACCAGGCGGAGGACTGATTGGAGCTGGGAGGTGCAGTTGACCCAGGTGGGGCCATGCTGCGCCGCCATCGCCAGCGCGCCAAGGCCAGTGTCGCTCGGAGGCCATGGCGCGACCCCCGAGCTGGAACACGCCTTGCCCCGCAGGCGCAGCGGGCTCGCGTGCTTCGCCGCGCTCTTGTGCCAGCTTTGCAATGCCCGGACGATCAGTTCATTCACCGCTGCCTCCCGCTTGTCCAGCGGCTGCGAAGCGCCGGCCCGGGCTCTCGGAGCGCTTTGGCCAGTTCGGGCCGCCGCTGCGCGGCCGCGCGCTGAAGAAGCACTGAGCCCAGCGCGGCCACCGCCGCTGCCAGAGCACCCTGTGGCGGAGCGCTTCTCCCCGCGCGGGCCCGCTGCGGCACTCGCATTGCTGCCTGCGGAGCGGCCAAGTCGCCGTCCTCGGGCACCTGGAGCTGCTGCCGGGTTTGCGGTTGCGGCTGGGGGGGGGAAGGCTGGCAGGCTGCGCTGGCTCCGCCCAGCGCCGCGGCGGTAGGCGAACGCCCTGAACAATGCGGTTGCGAACCTCTGCGCCGCGCTTCCCCGAGCTCCCCGACGGACAAGTACCGGGCGCTCGGCTGTGCC